TGTAATGGAATTATAATATATTGACAGGTTATGATAACCAAATATGAAGAGGATTTGGATACAGTTGTATAGTTTGATCATAGTAAGGTGTTGTGGTGAAGAAGATAAAGATTTGTATGTTTGAAGGAAATACAAGTATAATAGAAGATAAGAATGAGGTTTTGTACAAGTAAAGTTGATTATCAAAGTTATGAAAAGATATAGTTTAGTTATGTTATAAGAAGATTTTGATAATGAAAGGATTAAAAATGATAAAGGATTATAAGGATGTGCAGATTATAAGTTTGATTAGAAGTAAGAAAAGTATGTAAGGTTATATGAAGAGATTATGTGTATCGTAATATAGACAATGATGAAAGAATGAGTAAAAGTTTGGATTGTGGCGAATTAATTAGAAAATGAGGAAAGGAATCAATTGATTGATTTTTTTGATTTGAGTGATAGGAATTGATGTTAATGTTTACAGGATGAGTAACATTATGTGGATTTTAGAAAGGTCAAAGGAAAAATGCATAATCGAATGAGAGAAAAGACAACAATGGATTGGTATTATTGGTTATTGTTTATATGATAAGCAACAAAAGATGAATGTATAAACGAAAAAGATAGTTGGAAAACTAAAGGATTGAAAAGTAAGTGTCTGATGATGACAAAATAGAATAAGTCAGGGAAGCAACATAAGAACATTAGAAGATATGTTCTTATCAAGATGTGCAGTGAAAATTCGAGGACGAATTTTCTTATAAGGAGGGGAGAGTTGTAACATCCCAAACTATGGGTTAGTGACTTAATTGTAAAGTTTTAGAATTTGGTGATTAAAGTTTTAGAGTTGTAACAGAATTACCTATGTCTTTCGAGACATATGGACAGTATACCTATGTTCTAAGGAATATATGGACAGTTTACCTAGGTTCTTCGGAACCTATGGACAGTTGTCGAGGATCTTTATGACCTCTGGATAGTTACCGAGGATCTTTATGACCTCTGGATAGGTCCTTCGGGACATTGATCGAGCTGTGGTGACAGCATATGTGTGCACAACCTCAATGTACTCACATACCTTAAGTTCTCACTAGTGTACATGGGCTAATAAAGAGATTAAACAAAACATACGATGAGTTTATAAATGGTTATCAAAAGTAAGTGGTTTGAAATGTGTTACATGAACCACATGATGTTATATGTGTTTCTTAATGATAATGATAGAGATTATGATAATGATGGTATATGTTTATGTATGCTTTATGTTATATGAAATATTATATGTTTTATATGCCTCACTAAGTCATCGACTTAGCATGTGATTGTTTCACACGTAGGTTTGGAAAGCGAAAAGAGAAGTAAAGAGGAACAAGGCAGGTCAGTTCTCCTTACCGAATGTCAGATCAGAAGAGAGGTGAATAATATGTATATTTTTTTTTATATAAAGTTCTAGTTGGCATGTAATCAAAAGAATATATTGAATAAGCTCTGAATAGTTTTGTAAATGTTTTGAATAAGTTAACTATTATAAAAGTTTTTAAAATTACTCACTATTTTATACGAATAAAGGTTTGAAAAGTCAATGCGACACTTCGGACTCGTATCCGGGTTGGATACGGGTTGGGGGTGTTACAAATACCTTCTTTTTGAGCATATATTTTGACCACCAGTCTTGCACGATACCTCTCAACTTGATCATCACCATTTCACTTGATTTTGAAGACCCATTTGTTACCAATTGGCTTCCTTCCTTGTGGTAGTGGCACAAGGTCCCATGTATTATTTTTATGAAGGGCTTTAATTTCCTCTTGCATCGCCATCATCCATAGTGAAACATCTGAGCTGTTTATTGCCTCCTGGTATGTTGATGGCTCACCGTCCTCTGTTAAAAGGCAGTATGAAATATTACCTTCTATAACATAATCTGAGTGCCAATTGGGACGTCTTCTCACACGATCTGATTGACGAGTTGTTGGAGCTTCAGAACTCTCTGGTTCTTGTTCATCATGTGCTGGTTCTGCTTCAGAAGAATCTCTTTGTTCAAACACCTTTTCCACATGTATCTGTGTAGTCTCTGACTTTTCAGCACTACCATCTTCTTCTTTTCTTTGTAGATTATCTTCTACAAAGATAACATCCCTGTTAATGATCACTTTGCGGGCAGTGGGATCCCACAAGCGATACCACTTTACACCATCAGCATACCCCAAGAATTTGTATTTCTTGGATTTTGGATTCAGCTTTGAGATTTCTTGGGAGTTGTACATCACGTACACAATACTTCCAAATACATTGAAGTTTGAATAATCAGCTGGTTTATCAGTCCACATCTCCATTGGTGTCTTCAGCTCTATTGTATTTGATGGAGCTCGATTCACCAAATAACAGGCGGTATTGATTGCTTCTGCCCAGAATGATTTTTCTAGGCCTGCATCCCTCAACAATTCTCTTGTTCTTTCTAACAAGGTTATGTTCATCCGCTCTGCCACTCCATTTTGTTGAGGAGTGTTTGCCACTGTGAACTGTCTTTTGATGCCTTCTTTCCTGCAAAACTCATTAAATTCTTCGCTTGTGTATTCTCCTCCATTATCTGTTCTGAAACACTTGATCTTATTTCCAGAATCAAGTTTCACCCGCGCTTTGAAGATTTTGAAAGTTGAAAACACATCTGACTTCTTCTTAATAGGATACACCCAACATCTCCTAGAGTAGTCATCAATAAATGAGACAAAGTATTTTGTTCCACCTAGGGATGTAACTGGTGCTTGCCATACGTCATAATGAACCAATTCTAGAACATTTTTGCCTCTAGAATTTGACGTGTTGAATTTCAACTGGTGCTGCTTACTTGTTATGCAATGCTCACACAAAGTAAGTGATACATTTGTTAAGCCTGGAAGTAGCTTTTGCTCGACAAGAACTTTCATTCCTTGTTCTGACATGTGTCCAAGTTTCTGATGCCATAGCATTGCAGAATCTGAACTACATGAGGCAACAGAGGCTTCTGCTTCTAGCAAAGTCTCTCCCTTCAGCATGTATAAGTTTGCTGCTATCTTTTTGCCTTTCAACACCACAAGCGCTCCACAAAACACCTTCATGATTCCTTTCCGTGTTTTAATCTTGCTTGCATTATTATCCAACAATCCGTAGGATAATAAATTTTTCTTCAGGCCTTTCACGTGCCGCACATCTCGAACAACTTTGATTGTTCCATCATACATCTTCAATTTGATGGTTCTCACTCCAACGATCTCTAAGGCATGATCATTGCAACTATACATAGATCTTCCTGATACAGGTTCATAATGATGGAACAATTCTCTTCTTGAGGTCATGTGATATGTTGCTCCCGAATCAATGAGCCATATATCTGCATATATTTTTCTACCTTATACGGTGGTTGACGTTTCACAGCATAGAGCATCTCCATCATCTGAAGTGTTTGCTGTATTGCCTTGTGGATTGGAATTTTTATTTAGACTCCAACAATCCTTCTTCAAGTGACCCTTCTTTCCATAGTTGTAGCACTTTAAATTCTTCTTGCTTCTCGACTTCGATCTACCATGTTTATGACTATTGCTTTGGCCACGTTCTATTGATCTCCCTCTCATTGTTGTCAACGCTTCTGCTTGTTGCAGATTTACTTGTCTGTCTTCCTTATTTTTTCACCGATTTTCTTCTTGTAGAATAGCAGCTGCATCATCATCGAAGACTAGACTGGTGACATTACTGTTTGTCAAGTTGATGATGAGTTGATCATACGAATCCGGTAGACTTTGAAGTAGAAGTTCAACACGTTCTTGTTTTCCTATTTTACAGCTTAAGGATGTAAGCTGAGAAAATAAAGTGTTCAGTGTATTTAAGTGCTCCGTCGTTGAAGTAGATTCTGGCATACGGAGAGTGTACAATTTTCTCTTAAGGAAAATTTTATTGTGCAACGATGTGGCCTCGTACAGCTTAGTGAGATGATCCCATATCTCCTTAGCTGTCTTCTTCTCCTCGATGCTTGACAATACTTCATCTGCTAATGCCAGATGAAAGTTTGTCATAGCATTCCCGTCTATTTCGATCCATTTGTTGTCATTTATGAATTCCACCGACCTTTCACTGATAGCTGCTAGACAACCGTCTTTCCTCAGGATGGCCTTCATCTTCAATTTTCACAGTGAGAAATTTCTCCCATTGAACTTTTCAATATCAAATTTCGTTGCCATAACTTCTTTTACGGATAGCTCCTACTATTTTACTATCGTGAATAGTTCTTTGGAACCTTCAAAGAATGGGTAATAACTTCTTACTTTCTTATGTTGGAGGATCCACATTTTGGTGGCAACCACAAAGACAATAAGCAGATATTACACATTATAATCTGGCTCTGATACCAATTGTTGCGGAAGACGGCTATCGGATAGAGCAAAATCACAACTGATAATTTGAGAAAATAAAAATGAGGATAAAAGAGGCACAAAATTTACGTGGAAACCCCCTAAATAATATAGGGTAAAAACCACGGGCAACGGTAGAAGAATTTCACTATGAGAAAATAGGAATTAGAATTTCTCTCTATCTACCAAGGAGAAAACAATGATAATTCTCTCTTGATAAAAAGGAGAAAATAACTCTCAAACTCTCTAAATTCTCTAGTATTGGAAGAAAGCTAGAATGCTTTGGGATGGTTTTGAAGCTAAATAAGCTAGGGTATTTATAGTTGAAGTTTAAGGACTAATTTGTAAAAACCCTAAATTACAATGACTAAAATTGAGATTTTACCATCCATGAAATTCAACAATTTCATGCGTCTAATTTTGACAATTTCGGTTTCTTTTCCACCGAAAAATATATCACCGAAAGTGGCTAACAATTCCACCGAAAGTTGGCTTTACTTTTCAATAAAAAGAATGCAGAGACCAAAGAGAAACATGGAGTACAATGAGAGAATCTCTTTCCAAAGGAAACAGGTTCGACATTTCAAAAAGGTTTCCCTATAGAACAAAACATTCGATAAGATCGTTGCGCTAATGGCACGAATCATCTGCACTGTTTACGCGAGGATCTGCGTCATTTTTGAACCTTTTGTTCCAAGCCTTCTCTCCACCACTACCATCACCACCAATAGATGTTCCTTCAGGCGCCTCTATGTTTCACACTTGAAAGCTTTCCACATGAAAAACAATAACAAGCAAAAGGCCTCCAAATCGGGTTCGATACTCGGATCATCCAGGATGAAACGAGTTGCAGCCCGTTTCATGAGCAGCGAACTTTCACCTGAATCCCAAGGCCTAGGGTTCCTACTCTCTAGTGTCACCATGACCAACAACAAAGCATCTGCCATTAAAAACAACGTAAACCAAATATTGATACAATCGGCTTCGCCAAACACCGTAGGAGCAGTAGGGCTCACCTTTCGTTACGCAAACATACTCATCATGGCGGAGACATACTTCTATTCGACGCATGGTATTAAATTGAGGCCGCAACACAGTGTAACGGCCGCATCGTAACAGTTTTGAAGGTCACAGCGACGCAATATTAACGTAACGCAACTGTCCGCGATAGCCGCAACACGTTAAAAAATCACGCCTGCGACACGTTACGTAACGTCCGCAGCATCCGCAACCACGACACCACAACCGCGACAGATGCCGCAACCGCTATTTTATACTATGATTCGACGACGCTCATCACCACGCTCATCACCAACGCAGCACGCGAGCACATGTTCGAGATTTTACCAATAAACCTTAAACAAACGCTGAGAGGGTAGCTGAGAAGCCATTGGTACAAGGTTGAGCGTGAAGGGCAGGGGTTGGCAGAAGGGTGGAAAGAGGCGTTGGAGGAAATAATAGGGTGGTTGGCTCCAGTGGCGCACGAAACACTAATGTGGTAGCAAGAGAGGAAGCTGGAGCAGCAAAAACTGGATGCAAGGCCCACGGTTCTCTTGTTCCAAACGCTGCATTTCTCGGATTTGGAGAAAACGGAGGCTGCCATCGTGGAGGAATTTATAGGGTCGAGTTGTATATATTGTTACGAGAATCGCAGGAGGTGAATGATGTTGGCTGTAAGGAACGCCACGTTAGTACGTGAAGCTGCTTACTTTGAAGTAAGCTGCCATTAGTTTATTCTTTTTTCTTGAGTTAGGTAGTTGAACTTATATTGATTGGTTCTTTCATGAATGTTCATTTTCAAGTGGGAAATAAGAAACTGAAGGCCCTATTTATAATAGGAACAGTTATGCATCAATTTCACATGTTTCATTCATACTAAGGTGAGATACAAAATCAAGAAAATTAAAAGATCGATTTCAATTAAATTGTACGATTCGGTTTGGTTTGATGTATATATTTTATTTTATGGTTCAATTCAGTTTAAAAAGATAATTATACAATTTTATTCTATTTTGATTTTTTGATATGGAAACCGTTTGTTCCAAATCAAATCGAACTAAAAAAAATAATTATCCAAAATAAATTTATTTAAAATTTATTATATGACAAAATTAAAAAATAAAATCTTAAAAATAATAATTTTTTTTTTATAAATTTAAATGTGTATATTTTCACTCGATCTATATTTTAAATTTGCTTACTTTAGAATTTAGTTGTTGAGTTTGAACAATAATGAACCCTCCAAAATCACAATACTAAACCGAATCGAACCAAAAATTATAATTTTTATGCCATTCGATTTTAATTTTTAAAAACTTATAAAATACGCTTCGATTCGTATTTTATTGAAAACTGAACCGAATATGCCCTTATTGGAAGGCTTGTATGTTGCTTTGTGGACAATAGTTTTCTTAGGGCCTCTTTTTGGGTTAAAATCCCGCCCATTGTAAACCAAGACCTGTACACTTTGTGGGTTAAACTATAGCTTCCTGCATCAGACGCCCTAGTTTATAAAATCTCAAAGCCTGCCAAGTTAGCTTGAGCATTGTTCTATTCATTCACCAATATCATATAATATAATATAATATAATACTAATTAACTTTTTTTAGATAAATAATATTCTTATATTATTTAAAAAATTATCCAAAGAAAAGCAACAACTGCAACAAGTTACAACCAATAAGGGAACACTTCAAAGAATCCCCCGCTCAAAACATAAAATTCACCATGTCAGACTAGTGCAATAACCATGCAATTTTATACGAACAATCTCCCTAATACACTCACCCATACATCAACCGAACAAGTAATCCTCCTAAATTGTCTGTAATTGCACTCTTCCCAGACATAATGCAAAAAGTCGGTCCAGACAAACTAAAGAAAACAAAAAACAAGTCTTTCCCTTCAAATTATCTATAACCTACATCAAACTATCCTCCTAACGATCGACCAATAAGGCAACCCACAAATCTGCATAACCTTATTCCAAACACTACAGGAGTGAGAACAATCACAAAAATATGAGTTTTGGTTTTCAAGTCAATACCACAAATTCACAAATTCTAGTCGTGTCAATCTCCATCCAAGTAAACCTATCTTTTGTTGGCAGTCTATTTAGGATAATCATCCAAGCTATGACGAAGTGTTTAGGAATATGTAAAGGGAACCAAATGAGACTTTGTCACTGCACGCTCTCCTTTTTTCCGTTATTCTTTCCCATTTCCAACTATTATTTACCAACGACGAATTAACCCCAACAATAAAAAGGTTCCTAGCTTCAACTCTCAATTTTAATAACTTTTTCAAGCTCTAGCTGAAATGAGATATGCATTCAACATACCAAAAATCCTTCCCTTTCAGAGCATATTCCTTCACCTATATCACCTAAAAGGAACTATCACCTGCCAAAATATATTTCACAAGGAGCAAACTACATGATATATTCCAGCAAAGTAAAATTTTAATCCCTCAGCCCTCATTTGAATTTTAAGAGCAAACCTGCTCCCTACTAACACCAGCTCCTTTAGTTGGAAGATCATTTATCTTTCTAGAAGAAATGCATACACAACAACTTTATTTTTGAATCACATACTCGGGCAAAATAAGTTGTCTACACCAAATATTGATAATACTAAACAATACAACCTTATTAAGCTGTAACCAACAGCCATAACTAATATTCCTTCTAGACCAAGCCCTAAGCCCTAAGCTTAGCTCTAATCTTCTCCAATAAGGGCATACAATCTTTTTCAATGAACTTTTTAGTTATTAAAGGTACACTAAGATACCTCAGAGATAATCTATTCAACCTAAACCCAGTAGCAGTTTGGATTTCATCAAATTTATCTTCATCCACACCACAAGTAAAGAATTCGGTTTTAGCTACATTAAACTTCAATCTAAACATCTCATAAAACTGTTCGAGAACACTTGGAACTCCCAAAATAAAATCCATAAAATCATGACAAAAATCATCAGCAAAACACAAGTGAAGGAGAGAGGTTCTTCTACAGATGTACTAAATAAAATTTTGGACATTACTAAATCTCCCAAATTTAAACTTGTCTGTTTTATTTAAAAAATCTAAATTAAAATCGTTTAGTTTAAAAATTATCCGACAATATACAGAAACCAAATATCCAGGTACTTATATAATACTACCAACCCTTTTAAGCATAACAGGTCTGATATTGACTTTTTTTTAATTTAAATGAAAGGAAGACAAAACAGAACAGTCCATGTCCACTTCCATAACAAACAGGAGATCCTTAAAACTTGTGGCGTCCTTTTAATGCAAAGCAGCAGCTATATCTGACTGAAAATAAGTCGGAGATATACCGATCAGTATAATATATCTGATGATAAGCTGCGAAATTTCATCGCCATTTCCATACAGCTTGCGTACTCACCAGGGAAGTAAACAAAAGAATTTTATTATTCGCAATGGGACTCCACCCATCCATCTCACTCATTGACTTTAAACACCCAAAAGGAACACGTGATACTATTTTAATTCCACTGTCAATCTGTTAAATACAATCACTTTACCTTTAAACGGAGCAGAAGAACATACCCTGTTAAACTCACCTAAATGGCTAAATATGCTATTCGAATTCGAGTCATTAAGAGAACAAAATTCGGGTGAGGTAGAGTTGATTAGCTAAGAGAACAAAAACACTGATCCTTTGATTATTCTCTTCTTTTCAAAAGATTGATTGTGATTTGTGATGCACAACCTCTTCATACCATAATATAGAGACTTTTTTTTCAAGAAAGTCAAACAAAAAGTCAATAGTTTCTTTGTTTTTCTTCTTTTTCGTGGACAATGCAGCTAAGAAACTAACTAAATATAGTACTAAAGTCAGAAAATTTTGTATACCCATCCTCCACCTTAACGTAGCCAAGGCTAGAGTAAACAAAAATGGCCACAAAAATCATCCTTCTGATTCTAATCTGCCTCACTTTCCATCCACTGCTGGGTTGTTCCCAAGGCTTTCCAAGGTTCAACAACAATACTGACCAGGAATCCCTTCTTGTATTCAGGTCCCAGATAACTCATGATCTGATGCAGGAGATCCGAGACAGATGATGCTGAGTTGTCAGATTGCACATTGATGGCGCTGAGATACCATGAATTGACAGATCAGCGTAAAGGCGGGAATTGATTGTGACATGTTTCTCATTGGGGTCGTTTTGAGTATGTTTCAATCTTTTGGCCATAACTTTGGCTACAGGTGTCAGAATCGCGCATAAGACTCTAATCCGAAAAGCTCTTTTCGACGCGTACGCTCTCCACATTGAGCTATGCTCCATGTGGCCTTTTTTTCAACCTCAAATTCTGTCGTTTTTCCTTCCAAATCATTAGATTTAGATATTTTTTACGATTTATGGTAATATTTCGATTGTCAATTAGGAAGTCAATTTAAATCCGATTTAGGCCGGATTTTTTGGATATTGCTTATTTGAGTGATTTTTGGGATTTTTTTATTTTTGATAAAATTCGAATAAAGACGATTTTTTGCTATAACAGTTCGGCTTGTGGATTAATTTTGGGGATTGTTTGATTTTATAATATTTTATTAAACCCTAGAGACTTTTTTTTCTCTGATTTTTTTGAGCAAATTTTTTATTGTGAATCATCTGTTGAAATACCTATAGAATAATTATTATTTTGTCCGACATTAAGATCCTCTCGGTGTTCTTGGGACTTGGAATCTCAATTCTTCCTTCTGCAACTGGACCGGTGTTACTTGTGATGTCACTAAACAGAGTTACAAGCATCAGCCTTGAAAACCTTGACCTTGTGGGCACCACTGCTCCTCACATTGGGAACCTTTCATTTCTCAACCACCTCTACCTTCAAAACAACAGTCTCTTTGGTAGCAGTCCTCGAGAAGAAACAGGAAAGTCTCTCATGTGCTTCACCATTAATATACGGTTAAAAAAATGTGTTATTGATTTTATTATTTTTTAACAAAATCGATAAAAAATTATTAGAAATATTATTATTTTTATCGATTTTGTTATTATTGAGCTTTTTACCAGTTTTATTAACATATTTAAAAAAGCACTACTAATTTTATTATTTTTCTATATGTTTTGTTATTATTAGACACTTAAATGGATTTTTAAAAATTATTAATGTTTTATATAAAAATAATAATATTTTAAATATTTTTTTATTATTTATTTTATTAAAAAAAATTAATAACGTTTATCGTCTTTTTCAGTTAAGAACACTCTTTCTTGGTTCTAATCGAATTCAAGGAACGATACCGGTGTCAAGGCTTTCCTATCTTGATCTGTCGGTCAACCGGCTGGAAGGTACCATTCCAAGTGAGTTAGGTGCACTGTCAGAGCTTGCAGACGTATCTTTCTCGACGAATTTTCTCACAGGACATATTCCGTCTTCATATGCGAATCTCTCCTCGTTGTCGAATCTTGTTCTGATGTCCAACAGTTTGAAAGGGCCTCTACCAGAAGGGTTAGGTCGCCTTCCGTTCTTAATCAATCTTCAAATCGGTCTTAACAGCATCTCTGGTGAAATCCCACGTTCACTGTTCAATTGTTCCTCATTGATTGTCTTAGCCATGGCTGTCAATAGACTCACAGGTACCCTTCCGCCGGACATGTTTACTAATCTAACTAGCTTAACAACCCTTTACTTGGGAGGGAATCTCTTGTCCGGACGCTTACCACCATCCATAGGCAATGCTTCAAGCTTAACTCGAGTCGACCTCGCAAACAACAGCTTCAGTGGCCAAATCCCATGTCTAGGGAACCTACCAAATGTTCAAATATTAAGCTTACAGAGTAATGAGCTGGTTAATGATGAACCAAGAGGCATGGATTTCCTTACTTCTTTGGCAAATTCTCCCCAACTTGAAGTATTTTCGGTGGCCGAAAACCGTCTTACCTGTAAACTTCCATCTTCCATAGGCAACCTCTCGAGACAACTTTCATTGTTGGTGATGAACAACAACTTTTTTGAAGGGACCTTGCCTAGAGAAATAAGCAATTTGATCAACGTAATCCTGATCGCTTTTGAACACAATTCCTTAACCGGAACCATTCCACCTTCAATAGGAACTTTGCCAAACTTACAGTACATTTTGCTACATGAAAACAGATTCTCAGGAAACATACCAGAGTCTCTTGGAAACTTGACATATTTGGCTGAAGTTCATCTCTTAGAAGGGACCATTCCTTCAAGCTTCGGAAACTGTCAGCGTCTTCAGTTGCTAGACCTTTCAGTTAACTTGCTTAATGGTACCATACCAAGAGATATATTTCAAATCCCGAGTTTCGGTAAGGTCTTGAACCTGTCTTTCAATTCTTTAACCAGATCCGTTCCGCCCGAAATCGGTAGTCTAGATATGATTCAAGCGATAGACTTCTGGAATAACCGATTATATGGTGATATACCTTTCACATTGGAGATTGTTCAATCCTTCTGTATTTAGATATGTCTAGAAATTCGTTTCAAGGAACCATACCAAATTCTCTGGACAAATTGAGAGGGATGGAGTATATTAGCCTTTCTTCAAACAAGCTCACCGGTAACATACGGGCTTCTCTAGAATCTTTAAGGTTCTTGCAAGTTTTAAACCTGTCCAGGAACCAACTCTCAGGGGAGGTTCCAACAGCAGGGGTTTTCGGAAACTTGACAGTCATTTCCCTTTCCGAAAATCTCGAGCTTTGTGATGGAGTACCTGACTTAGAACTACCCAAATGCGATTCTCCTGGAGAAAAGTTCAGCGGTTCGAGATTAAGAATTGTACTAATAGCGTCGTTTGCATTCATCTTGGCTTCTGTGTTAGTCTTTTGGTTTGTGAGTAGAAAGAAGGATTCAGGCGTCCATCAGGTTAAGGAGTAAGCTGATTCACCGGAGATATATCCAATGCATAGGCAACACGATCTCAAACTCGCTACCCGGAATTTTAGTTCAGAGTATTTGATTGGAGAGGGTAGCTTTGGATCAGTTTACAAGGGTGTTCTCAATGATGGAAGTTTGGCAGCTATCAAGGTCTTCAAAATGGGACAACATGGAGCTTCCAAGAACTTTCTAGCTGAATGCGAAGCTCTTCGACGAATCCGACATCGGAACCTCGTTAAAATCATAAGTGTATGTTCAGCAGGCGATTTCAAGGCACTAATCCTTAAGTTCATGCCAAATGGAAACTTGGAACAGTTACTTCACCCAAGAAGTGAAGACTCTGAGGTAGAAAAAGCTCTTGGCATGAACCAGAGACTGAAGGTAGATCAAGATGTTGCCTCAGCACTAGTGGCGGATAAAGGAATTAAAAAATGGGTCCAAAAGCGAGGGTATTTTGATAATTTCAACTAAATGTCACAGTATTCAATACAATTGTTTTAATTAATTATATAACCTACTAACTTATTAGACTAAGTGTCCCAATAAAAGAAAAAATGGTCTCATCAACATTTTTCTTTTAACTTTTGAATTTTTTAAACTTGAAAAGAATACAATCAGATTGAATTCTTCCCAATAAAATAAAACACATTTGTCTCTTATGACAAATATAACGTTGAAGCTAATTGTCGTAACCGATTTCCGGCGATACGACGAGTCTCGACTCATTTCGTGAAAACCCGATTTTGTAAAAGAAATGTTTCGGAGTCACCATCGACCTTTTGGGTTAGGTAGGCCGAATACCCAAAAATCTTCTTTTAAAAGAGTTTTTTAAGAAAAACATCATTTTAAAAGATGTATCGATCCACGTATAATCAGAAATTCATTTTTAGTAATAAAAAAGAGTTCGGGGGTCGATTACGTGTGGGGAAGGATTAGCACCCCCACAACGCCCAAAATTAGTACCCATCGATTATATATTGTCTTTAAATAGTAGAAATCTAAGAATTCGAATATATATTTAGATCACGATTCCATTATTCCTAATTCAACCATACAATATTATAGAACAAAAATTCTAAGGAAAAATATAAATATTCTCTTATTTCCAATTGAAGAGAAAATACTCCCTAAAATACTTTAGGACGAATATTTCTCTTCCCAACTGAAATAAAAAGAATATAATATTTTTCCTAAGGATTCCATATAAAAAAAATTATTCTACCAAAGAAAGAAATTAAATTTATTAATCCGAATATTATTAGAAAAGATAAGGGATATTCAATAATTTAAAAACACCGAGACTTAATCTCTAATAAAATTAGCAAATTGTCTCGATAAGTTTAAAATAATGAATATTTCATTTTCCCTTCAAAATTAATTAATTTTAAATGCAATCAATTTTTTAGGTTTTTCTAGTGGGATATTTATTTATTTTAAAATATCAGAAAAAGACATCTAGTTGTTTTAAGACTGTCCCTTCTTAATATTTTAAAATACATAAATACTACCCTTAATCCAATTATATAATCGGTTAAGTTATGCTAATGAGGCTTTTAAACAAAATAAAATATGATACATTGAAGCACTTAGAGAAAAAATATAAACACATGGATTAAAAGAATCATTTTAACTTTATTTTTAACTTTATATTGCTTTATAAATAGAGAAAATAACCTCAGTGACCAAAAATCCCATATAATATACGATTTTAACCAACTTTTTCCGGATTTGCCAAAATGACCAACAAAATCGCAATGCAATCGCTAATTCGCAACGCGATCTCCATTATCGCAAATTCGCGTTGCATTTCGCGTTGCGATAGTTGAAAATCGCATTGCGATGGTCTACAGTGTCGTTGCGATTTTCCCAATTCGCAATGCGAATAAGTAAATCGCAATGCGAATTGGGAAAATCGCAATGCGATACTGACTATCGCAATGCGATACTGACTATCGCAATGCGATACTGACTATCGCAATGCGATAATACAAAATCGCAACGAGATACTGACTTTCGCAACGCGATTCTGACTTTCGCAACGCGATAATACATAATCGCAATGCGATTTTCAAAGCGCCATTAGTATCCTGGCCAAGTATTTTATTTTTAAATTCCAAACACGAATATTAATATATTGGAACACTGAACCGTCCACAGTATATCCCGTAATCGCAACTCATAACCTAAAACCTAAAATCACAACTCAGTCCCATCTCCATCTCTCACTCTCTCACCCATCTCCGACGAAATCCGTCCCCATCTCCGGCGAAATCCGTCTATCTTCATCTCTCAGAGTCACCCTCACAATCAGAAATGGAAAATCAACCAAATCAACCAACGAGGGTTAGTTTTTTTAATTATTTTCTTTTTGAAATTTTTGCATTATTATTAGGTTTTTCATATTGAAATTGATGATAAGTTTACTGGTAATTTCAATAATAGATTAACCATTTCACTTAGATTGCTTATTAAATCAACCGAGAATCGCAACGCGATTTTAGTTTCGCAACGCGATTTTAGTTTCGCATTGCGATTCTCTCGTTGCGATAGTCAAATTCGCGTTGCGATAGTCAAATTCGCGTTGCGATAGTCATTTTCGTGTTGCGATTTTCATTTTCAGAAACTATTATTCTTCTGCAAATTGAAACTTGAATGAATTGCATTACTTCAACCAAAAAACAAAGACAAATATGAAATTCACAGTGTTGCAAATTTAAGTTTGAAGAATAAACTACTACTCTTTATGTTTATTATTGTTTTTGGTATATCTTCACAGTGTAGTTTTTGGTATATCTAACTTAGTATGTTTATTGTTTTTGTAGAACTTTTATTCGACTCAATTGACCTTAAGAAATAAAGTCAGCCTGGCCAAAACAATTGCGTCGAAGCTTTCACCTGCACAAAGAAAAATGTTTGAGGATACATGCTTCGGGCCATAGCTGAAAGTACAACATCTCGGTGGAGATGCGATGTTGACACACCTGTTTCTTCAAACCATGACTAGCGATCTACCAGAGACTATACAACGTCGTGATGAAGAGATATGGTTTGATTTTTCACCGGCGTATACGTGTTTTAGGTGGGAGGAGTTTTGCTTAATCACCGGTCTACGCTTCGAACACGATGATGTAGGTCGGTACACTAGACACATTACCCGCCCATCATGGCTATCCCGGGTTTTTCTTGAGATGGAGAGGCCGAATCTACACGTAGAAGACCTGACAAGATTGTTGAATAAGAAAGATGGTTTTACTCGGATGGATGACGTCGACGTTGTCCGAGTATGCCTTCTAATTCTTTTGCATGCTGGCTTTTTAGGCAGAGAGGCCAGACAACCTATTCCAAATGATCTAATCAAATTGGTAGAAGACCTAAATGAGTGGAACATGTTTCCGTGGGGCTCGTATTTATGGAAAGCTACATGGAATAAGTTATCGTCTGCCTTGGATGATCGAAAAAGTTTGCATGGCGATGGTTCCAATACACTTTGACAGGCTTTATTTGGGCCTTTAAGGTAAGAATTTTATATAATGTTTCCAAAATTATAAGTAATTATTTAACAATTACTAATGTTTGTTATTATATTGTTTGTAGATTTGGATATTTGAGGCCTTTCCCGCCATGAAGACATATGCAATAAAAACTTCAAATGATATTCCCATGGCTATTTCCTGGAAGAGGAAACGGACCTTGCAATGGGAAGATTTACTACGGTATACGACAATAAATAATGTAAGTTAACATAAATACTACCATATGTTTATAAACAAGTTATTACTAGTACACATTTAACTTTGTTTGAGCTTTTATATTGTTAGGAGGCCAACACTCCTCTACAGAGGCTGACACCCACGGAAGCTGAGCTTGCCACTGATTGGTGGCAAGTTAGTAAGCGTTTTTTTGATGGAACAGTTGATGAGCAGCCTCCACTTCGGGAGCCATCACCTCGCCCAGAGCTATCACCTCACCCAGAGCCATCATCTGATCAACCCGACTATACACCTCCACAACGACAGCCATCACCTATTCTGTCACATCATCGAGCCTCTTCTCCACCATCACCGCAAGATAGGCGACCGCAAAGATGCCACGACGTTTATCTCCCTGTTCTCCACCTCCACCTCAACGGGATGAGTTAGGGGAGTTACGTGATGAGGTCAATGCCTTGCGTGAGGAGGTCGGTACTTTAGCAAAGACGATGGTGCATGGCGTGTTGAGGTGTCTACATTACGCGGTGAGGTAGCCGCTCTACGTGAGATGGTAGCATCGTTGCAGAATGAGGTTCATACTCTACGCAACGAGGTAAGTTTAAGATTTTTCATACTCGTAATTCATTCGGTTGCTGCCAATACTGCTAAACTGTTTTTGTTAGTATTTGTTTTTGGTTTTGTTTTTGTCTTTTGGTTGAAGTAATGCAATCCATTCAAGTTTCAATTTGCAGAAGAAGAATAGTTTACTTTCGCAACATGAAAATGACTATCGCAATGCGGAAATGTCTATCGCAATGCGAAATGAAAATCGCAACGACAAAATCGCAATGCGAAATGAAAATCGCAACGACAAAATCGCAATGCGAAATGAAAGTTGCAATGCGATTTGTGTTTCGCGTTGCGATTTTGTCGTTGCGATTTCATTTCGCATTGCGATTTTGTCGTTGCGATTTTTATTTCGCATTACGATTTTGTCTTTGCGATTTGCATTTCACATTGCGATAGCCATTTCCGCATTGCGATTGTCATTTTCGCGTTGCGATTTTAAGTTTCATGTTACGAAAGCAAACTATTCTTCTTCTGGAATGTTTATATATGTTGTCCTTTTAAATGTTTATATAAGTGCTTACTTCTGGAATATTATCTGAGCATTTTGTGAACTATGATAGAATAATGACTTGGGTGAATACAATGCTAGTTTGAAACATATTTGTCTTTATTTAATATCATGTCTGTTTATTTACTGATTTATGTATTAATTTTTTTTAGCGGCCCGATAAGGTGGATGTTTTACGTCGGGTTTTCCTTGCACGACAGAGTTCACGCATCAGACGGCGTGGACGTGCTATTACGTCTACGTTCACCCCAATGGTGCGAAGACTCCGCAAGAAGAAGCCCGACTCACCTGTCATCCCTCAAGAGTCCCCTCCAATCGTTCAAGAGGCCCCTATCCTCCCTCAAGAGTCCCCCCCACCGTTCAAGAGGCCACTGTCATCGTTGAAGAGGTCCCTCCCACCATTCCAGAGCCCGATTCACATGGGGTAATATATCGAAGTATTGAGAAACACCCACCGGTTCCGGACATGATGGATAAGAGTTGGCTCTCGTATGAGTTACCGACTAGTACCCTTCCGGTATCTGAAGTGGAGAGGAGACAACTACCAGAAACAATTGTGGATAATACCCTTTGGGCTAAGACCGCAGTTGATTTTTATCTACATGAGCGGAGCCAAGGGTGTTATACTGACATAAGCAAACTCA